CGCCTATTTGGTAAATGGCAATGCAACGGACGAGGATCTTGACCATATGGCGGCCGAGAATCTTATCTTCATGGCGCGCGATGGTCAGCTAAGCGAAATCATAGCCGCCAACGAAGCCGGCGGCGGAACTGTATTAATCACGGACAGCGGCACCGTTGCCTATGCCGAGTCATTTGATGATGATGCACAGGTGGTCACCGAAGAGATCATTACCGATGATTGGGTGCAGCATCAGGGTGCCGAGCGGTAAGTACTTGTTGATTATTACCTGTATTACGGCGTTTCTATAATACGTTCGTTTTATTTTTGCAGCGTGGAAATCGCCGCGGAGCAAATTGCGGGCAACAATAGCTCGCAGGAGCTGCTGGACATGGAGCAGGATGAATATACGGCGCTGCGCCCCTATCCCTGCGACTTTTGTAGCCGACGCTTTCGCAAAAAGGGCAGCCTCAATACTCACATGCTGGCGCACCAAAACGATCGTCCACATCTGTGTAAATTGTGCGGCGCACGTTTTTCAAGGCGTGCCGAGCTCATCAGTCACTTCAAGGCGCATGCCGAGGCACAGGTTGCGGCAGATGAGGCGGCTGCAATTAAATTTGAGCCGCAGCAGCAGCAACGCCAAGCGGATGATCATTATTACGAACAGGATTGGCCTTTGTACCAGGAACAGGAAGAGGATCAGGTGCAAGACCAGATGCAGCAAATGGAGCAGGAGCAGCTGGTGGAGCCGCAGGCCAGCTATGCAGCGGTTAGCGCTGTGTCCGCACCAACTGCCACGCGCGGCCGCATCAGCCGCCTCAAACCCAAAGAAGAGAGCACGCAGTACATTGTGATTGCCGAGAAGCAGACAACAGACAACGATTTGCGCCAGTACATGGATTGCGAGGAGCTGCCGCTGCAGCCGCCGCTAACTGGCAGCACGTCAATCGATGCATCGCATTCGACAGAGTGTCCAGACGGATCCGGCGCCGATGCGGCGCAGACACTACGCTTTCCGGTGTTGGACGAGAGCAAGCCCTTTGTGTGCCAGCAGTGTGGACTCGCATTTGCGCGCGAAAAAGCGCTCGTCTCGCATATCAAGGTGAGCTTGGGTGAATATTCAACTGACATCCATATGTAACTGTCTGTCTGTCCCAGAATCATCGCGTGGACTCGCCCTTCGAATGCAATCAGTGTCAGGAGATGTTCTGGGATAATTACAGCCTGCAGGAACATCAGAAGACACATCAGTTCGAGGAGAGCAACTCGGAATATGATCCGGCTTCGGCGGGCGAAGATAGCGCCAGCGAATCGGAGCCGGATCAGCTTTACGGTGACTTCTACTGCAGCGAGTGCGGCATTTCCTTTCACAGACAGGACCTGCTGCGTCGTCATGCCAAGCAACAGCACAAGCTGACACCAGACATGGATGGCGGCGACGGCGGCGGCGAAGGTGACGGCGGTGGCGGCGATGCTGATGCCGAAAATGCTAAAGACGCCGCGCACTGTTGTCACACATGCGGCAAATCGTTTCCCAGCGCACTGGAGCTGCTCGCCCATGCCGAAGTTCATGCACGCTTCCCGCCATTCAAGTGAGTTGGGCAAACGCGTGCAACTAGTTCCAATTTATGATTGCTTCCGAAATTTGCAGATGCGTCCTGTGCGGTGTTAGCTTTTACGAGGAGCAGGCTATCAAGCGGCATTTGCACACGCGCCATCCGCACGAGCTGAAGCCCAACTCGTGCGTGCTGTGCGGCAAAGAGTGTCGCGATCGCAAGGCACTGATCAAGCACGCCTGGGATCACTCACGCGAGAAGTGCCACTCGTGCTCCAAGTGCGGCAAGAACTTTCACAACAAGGCGCGCCTGAAGCGACACATGGCCTCGCATCGCGACAAGTCGGTGGTTTGCGAGGTGTGCCACGAGGAGTTTCCCGATGGACGCACGCTTTCCAATCATCGCCATTCACATAGCACCACATCGCCGGGCAAGCTGTTTCCCTGCCACGAGTGTGGTAAGACCTTTGGCTCGCGCAGCTCACAGCAGATACATGTCCGCATCCACACAGGCGAACGGCCATATGGCTGTCGCTACTGTTGGAAGGCGTTTGCCGATGGCGGTACGCTGCGCAAGCACGAACGCATTCACACGGGCGAGAAGCCCTATGCCTGTTCCGTGTGTCCGCGTGCCTTCAATCAGCGCGTTGTGCTGCGCGAGCACATACGCTCCCATCACTCGGGTCTAGATGCTGTACGTGGCACCTATCATTGCACCGTCTGCTCGGCCGATTTGTCCTCATCCAATGAGCTTATACAGCATCTCATCCAGCACAGCGACACGAACACCGCCAAACAGCGACAGCCAATTGTGAGTAGCATTCGATAGCCGGAGTGCTCTATAAAATTGAGTGGAATTTATTGTTTTTTCAGACTGGTCCGCGCAAGTATAAGCGACGCAGGAAACTCCAGCCACACGAGATTGCCCACATGCGTGCGGGGAACAAGGATGGCGAGGAGTATGCCAGCGATATGGAACTATGTGACTTTGATGTTGAGAACGTGGATGATCTCCTGGACAGGACGGAGCCACTGCCAACCAAAAAGGAGAAGCGCAAGCGAGCAGCTGCAAATCAAGCTAAGGCCGTGACCAATGGCGCCGCACACAATAGTTCCAGTTCTGCCAAATCCGCCAATAGCAGCTCGGAACGTCTGTGGGATGAGAAATTCTTGCCGGCAAACTGCAATGGCAATGTTGGCAACGCAGATGATGCCTACAAAAGCTTCTTTCAAATTGATTCGCTGGTGGTGGTAAATGATACCACTCTGCCGCCTGTAAGCTCATCCAGCAGCACACCAAGCGCCTCCAAGTCGCGACGCGGCGGCAAGCAGCCACCGACGCAAACGCAGGCCGAGAGTAGTGACAAGTCTGTAGGTGGAGCCGGAACCACATCATCAGCAACAACGACAACAACAACAGCAGCAGCAGCTGCAGCTGGTGAGGAGTCTGGCAAATCCAGCGTCGCCAACAGTCGCAGCAGCAGAAAGAAGTCTGGCAAGGCGGCCAAGAATTCAGGCACAGCAGCTGCCACATCAAGCAGTTCACGTCCCCGCATGATACACACAGAAAAGGCACGTGTGCCGCCAGAGAATGCCAGCAAAAAGTCGCGTGGGCGCAGCTACATAACGCGCACCAGCACCAGCGAGAGCAGCCAGCTGGGCCTGGTCAAGTCGAGCGGCGTGGCCAGTTCACGGATTGTCGATGATTACGAAATTATATCACCTGCCACACAGCCGCCGAATCAGATCAGCTCCAGTCCGCTGCACATCAAGCAGGAGCAGGAGCAGCAACAGCAGCGCGTCCAGCTCATGTACGATGACACCCATTTGCTGATCCATGCGGCCATGTTGCGCGATAAGCCCTACGACAAGTTCAATCCGAGCATTGTCAATGATCTGGAGGAGATATTACGCAGTCCGCTCAAGCATGATCGGAATACGCGCCTGCGTTTCACCAGCGAATCGTCGACAACGCCACAGTTTCTGCCCGAGGAGGAGCAGAACCTCATTAAAATTGAGCCCACGTCGCCGGATCTGCGCGAAATGGTGGAGAGCCAGCAACGTGTAACTGCCACAGGACACACAGCCACGCCCACATCATCATCCTCATCGTCGGCGCGCACATCGCGTCATCTGCGACAGATCACTGCCAACTCGGCCACCCGCTCGGCAGCCAAGCGGCACATGGACAAAATCTCTTCGGAGTTCAGTGCCAAGAAATCGACAACATCATCGCCCGTTGCAGTCAGTAAGCCAGCCGCCAGTTCGTACCTCAGCTATGGCGTGGACTCGTACAATGTGAATGTGGTGGCCAGTGCCAACTCTTCGGATGTCAGTTCCGGTTTCTTTTCTATCTCCGAGGTGGTATCCGCTGCACATGCCGCCGATGCAGCGGCCAAGGCAGCAGCGGCCAGCAAAACGGAGCGTCGGACGCGCTGCTTTGAGTGTGAAATGTGTTCATCCATATTTCCGGATCGCGCCCAGCTGCTGGAGCACATGCATATACACATCTGAGGGGCCTGAAAACATGGAGAGGGATTTGTTATTGGAACTGTTTTGTAACGCTTGTTAGTTCCAAAAAAAAAAAAAAAAAAAAAAAAAATAGAAGATAAAACTAAAGGAAAACTAAAACTTAAAAGAAAAAGAAAACAAATGTGGAACTACTTTGTAAGATTTGCTTAAGTTTCTCGCACGATGTATTGGAAGGGTGATTAGGAGGTTGGACAGGAGGAGGAGGAGGAGGAGGGGGGGGGTGTAAATGTATTTTTTGAAAATATTTACCAAACAAGAATTTCAATTGCAAATTGAATAAATGTTACGCGGGATAAGTAGCATATAAATATATAATATATGCACATATAACTACGGTACTATATAAACAACGACAGATCGTTAATTAATGCGTTATTTAAATTGAATATAGAGCTTAGCTTTAAGGCTTTTTAAATTTGTACCTCAATTTTGTTTTGAAGAATTCGTATGCTGAAGTAAATAAATCCAACTTGGTTTTTTCTTTTCATTCAACAAGTTAATTACCTAAACGAATGTTAACTGGCATTTCAGAAATGTTCTCGCTGATAAACTTACATGTAAAAAAAAATCGCCTGTGTACCATAAATAGCAATCAATAGCTCATTTGTGAAATAACCTTTTTTGAGAAAACGATCTATAAAGGTCGGATATCAGGTAGTTACAGTCGTTATCGTTGTTTGTGAAACAAAACATGTTCGAGTTTGTTTCTCGCCGATTTCCATCAAGTGACAGTGGCCACTGTTTGTTTTTGATTTTATCGTCATGTTTATGAGTCAGTTCTTATATACCGACTAGCCTCTCTCAGAGTGAGACAGAGAGAGAGAGAGAGAGAGAGAGAGTGTGTGCCAATTTCCGCGCTCTCTTTGTGTTTTCACCCATACAAAGCAAGTCCAATGCCCACCCTGAACTATACGAGCTCTTCCAGTGCTCAGTCATCGTCGAGTTTTCAAACAAAGCGATATTCAGGAATACACGTTTTTATTTCTTTCTTTCGACGCGAAGTTCTCGTCTCGCTGCGCTACTCAGTTCAGGTATTCCGAAGGGCTTTCATATATAAGTATTTATATTTCTTGGTGCTTATCAATGCAGTTCATTTATAAATATTCCACAGACATGGCTGAACACAACGATGCACCGCTTTGTGGTGGCGTATCGGCGGAGCTGCAAGGCGCTGATTTGGAGCAGGCCGTGGAGCTATTGAATAGCTCGCTGGCCAAAGTGGCTGCCACTGGCGATAAGCCCAGTTTCAAGTGAGTTCTCAAGCATTCAAGTACTGAATACTCTGTAAAAGTAATCGACATTTATTTGCATAGGGTTGTTAAGGTCAAATCGGTGACATCCCAAGTGGTTGCCGGCAGACTTTATCATTACAAGCTGCAGCTGGCCCAGGGCGATGACATTAAGGAGAGCTATGTTAAGATCTGGACGCAGCCCTGGCTGCCGGAGAATAGCATCAATATAACCATCAAGTGCGAGGGCGATGACAACGTGATTGAAAGCACCTTTTAAAATTTTAACCAACTGCTGCATGTTAAATACACATTAAGATTTAATATCGTTTTTAATTATTTGTATTCAAATAAAAAAATAATCCCATAAGTACGCCCCTCTGTCTATAAATAGGCACTACGGCTTGCAGGCAATGTCAGTTTCTATACAAAAATGAATTGTGATCAGCTTTTGTATCTGATGTCCGCCCTGGCATTGGCCTCCGGCGCGGCCATGGTCTCCGAAATGTATCCAATAATGGGCCTGGAAGAGCAGACCGGAGAACTGCTGACTATAGCTATCCAATTTTTGGACGAACAACTCGACAAATTGGCCAACATAAGTGCTGGTGCAGTTAGCTACAAGTGAATCCAACTCCATCGACAGCTTCATTTCCATGTTTTACCCAATGTTTCGCACTCTTCAGAGCCCTCCATCTGACCAGCGTGCGGAGCCAGGGAGTTGCGGCTAAGAAATTAACCTACGAAACGCAACTGACAACTGGCTTTGTGACCGAGAAGTGCGATGTGAGAATCTGGCATCAATTCTGGCTGACAGACAACACGGACATCAAAATCAGCTGCGAAGATGCCGAAAGTCAGGAGTACTTGTTACACACAAATATCAGTTTTTGAATACGCCTTTGTTACCAAATTATGTGCATGTACAAAATACATTAGATATTGTTCTCAGCTATCCGTAGAATCTCTTAATAAGCTGGACTTATTATGGTAAATTACAAGCTAGCTTCCCATGTGTAGTGCGATCTATAAAAGCTGGTTCGACTAACTAGCCAAAATTAGTTCGTGTTTAATTATGAACTATATTAATTACTTGGTTCTATTATTTCTGGCCTGCTCGGCAGCCATGAAAGCTGATAACAATACTCCGTTCGAGGGCATGGACGAGGAAATGGAGGACATGCTGCGAGAGGAAGCTATTGAACTGTTGAAGGAAAGCCTCTCTATAATATCCCAAGAGCATGCCGCTAGCTATGAGTAACATAACTTATTTATATATATCCAATATATATATATTCAAAAGAAATAATTCAATTTTCAGTCTCGCCAAAGTGATTTCCGTCAAGAAACAATATGTTTCGGGCGCCGTCACAATCTTTATCGGGCAGCTGACCGACGGTAAAACTAATAAACAGTGCGTTATCACCACCTGGGAGGGTTATCCCAACAATATTAAAATCAAATGCGAAGGCGACGATGCCGAACTCAGCTTCACTCTTTGAAATAACCCCGTGCACAATCTCGGCTAATAATTACATTATTTCAAATAAATGTTTAGCACAGATCATAGAGATCTTTATCCCTCGCTCTGTTTTTCCATATTTTATTTTAAGTAATATTTAAAGAAAAAAAAACACATAAATAAAACTCTAATTTTCTTTACAAATGAATATTATCTCTATATGTAAAAGATTATTATCTCCAAGAGTTGAAAAGTTGTGTTTCATACTTTTCGGAAAATCCATTCCTGCTTGGTTGGAATTTTGTTTGAGTATTTTGTGGGCGAAGTTTCTGATGTAAAATCATTTGCAAAGATCTGCAAGAGAAGTATTTAACCTTTTTCGATAAACAAGCTAAGGTAAAACATGCGGATTAAAGATGTCGATCGGCTTCAAAACCTTCAAATCCTACATAATAACTTATTGAATGCGTGTTTCAGCGCTTTTGGAATTCCCACGCGCAACTGTGGAAATTTGGCGGAAAGTTAGTAACTTTTTTAATAGTTATTGAAATAGTTCTATTTACAAATTGAAATACGGGCAAGGCCGGGCAATACCCTCTATATGTATTTATATAAGCATTACAACTCAATCCGAAATTTTATTCTGGTGCTCTGTTTCTTTCATTCTTCGTTGATTAAAATTCAAGAGTGATTATTAAATAAAATTTATGGTAAAAAAATATGTCAAAGATTAAAAATCCCGACTTACGAATACGCTGATAACTCAGGAGAATTGTGAAGCTCTCTGTGAAGCTGCTGAGTTAAATGAGAATATCTGGAAACACAGAAGAGCTATATAATTTATTTTTACGAATTTGATCAAACTTTGCAGAAAGAAAGAAAAATAGTGAAACTAGCAAATGCCGAGCTTAGGCAAGATATTTTTAAACTTAACTTTTCAGCAATCATTCCTATGTTATGTATACTTATTGCTATAGTAATATTATCATACTAAGAGACTAGTTAGCAGATCGAGATGGAGAATATATATACATACATTATGTGCGTTACACATTTCATGACGAACAATGTAAATTTGTTTCTTTCTCAAATGAATGATAACACGCTTGTATGTGTACACATATATGGATCTATATATAAACCTCGTGTCATAGTATTCGTCACAAAATGCTCACAACAAACGCTCTCTCGTGAAACCGCGCTCAGAGCGTCAGGTGTATAAAAGGGCCGACTCTGCCGCAGAGAATTTAGTTGATGCGCAGCTTTTGGTCAAACAACAGTTCTAAAAAAAAGCAGTTAAGATAGAAGACAAAATGTTCGGCTCGAAATTGATTTATCTGACAATCTTGGCACTCGTGTGTGTGCTGGTGGCCAGCGATGAGTCGATCCCAATTGTTGGCGGTCACAAGGAGCTGAGCGGCGAGGAGCTGGAGAAGGCTGTTGCCAATCTGCACGCAACTCTGGCCAAATTGTCGACTGGCGATGGACCCAACTATGCGTAAGTCTCGAACCTTTTCCAATGATCTTAATCATATTATTTGTTTGTTTTTGCTTTAGGGCCACAAAAGTGCTGAAGGTGACAACCCAAGTTGTTGCCGGCACTCTGGATACCTACACCGTGGAGCTGACCAGCGATAATGTGGCCAAGCAGTGCACTGTGAAGATCTGGTCCCAGCCCTGGCTCAAGGAGAACGGCACCAATGTGAAAATTGAGTGCCAGGGCGACGATGCCAAGGTGGATCGCACCTGGTAAACTGGCTGATCCAATCTGCTCGGCTCTATTCTAAACAGCATTTGAATAAAATTGAACAGCTCTTTGAGCATGAGAAACCAGTTTCTTTTCGCATTTAATAGCCGGCAATGAATATTTATTCGAGTGCTCTCTCACATCTTGTTATATACAACACATTTCGTAAATTGTTTAAATTAACAGATGCAAAATAGCAAAAAATACGGGCTAGAATTGCAGGTCGGAGATTGAATGCCCTTCTAGACTTGGAATTGCTTCTATACATCAGCTTTTTCCTGTTCGCGAAGTAGTAATTTAGTAGTATAGCAGTCAGATCTGATACGAGATATGTTGGGAAAGTAATAACGCTCGTCTTTGCTAAGCATGGTCAAATATATCTTGAAGGAAAGTCTCTCAATCGATTGTCTCCACCGATGTTTATTCCTTACTGATCCGAGGCTGATGTTTACTTCCAAAAACGATATAATTAATGGATCCGATCAGGCATGCAATTAATAGAAAGAAACTAAGCTGAATTTTATAAAGAAACGGAGGGGGAAACAGATATAAGGGCAGACGGTTATGGCTAATTCGAGTCGGCTGATACTGGATATATAAGTAGAGCTTAGTTATAATATATAATATTATATTAATTAATTACTATACATAATATAATATTCAAATTCTCACAGACATGGTGGTCTTGTCTAAAAACAAAATCTATACACTAGCTTTGTTTATTTTAGATCAGGTTTATTCTTCTAATTGAACTCTCAGTTATTTATCGATCGTCTTTAATATGGGTTTATTTTTGCTTTCTTTAATGTTGTCAACCAGACGTTCTCTTCGCCGCTAACAAACTATTTTATTGTGTTTTGAATTTTAGTTTAAATAAACATTTAAATGTTATGCTCTCAGTTTGAGTGCATAAATTATAAGAAATATTTGGAAATATAAACATAATATATATAAATAAATTGTATAGGCAGTTCGTATGTATGAACATGCCGATCTTTAAACCTATAAGAGCTGGAGGATTGCAATTTTGAACTTGGTGCCTCTACGAGTTTTTTCGAGAATCGATAACTTGGCCCGTTTTCAAGCAATCGATAAAAATCAATATCGAGCAAATCTTGTAGGTTCTAGAGTAGTGTTTATAGACCAATATCGTTCATTAATTAATTCAGAAAGAATTAGGTACTTGTATTAACAATTTTTTGGCTTATCAGGATATTTTGCCCAAATGCGGGATTTTTAAGTTTTACTATACCCCCTACATGTATGCAAATTCTTATCAACATCGGACCGCTATATCATATAGTACGAGTTTTACCATTCTTACATAACTGCAAAAAGGAAATGCCTACAAGGGTATTCAATCATCGGCGTGCCGAACATATCCTAACTCTCTCGTTTTATTTATTTAAAAACCTTGATCATTTTAACCCAATTTATTTATTAATTTATCTATCATACGTGGCGACTAAAATTTTTGGAATATTATATATATTTTTTATTTATAAAACCCAATCTTAAGCCCTAAGGTTGGCTGGCAAAAAGATACATGTTACATGTTCTATATAAATGCATTAATTTAGGCTTCCTTTTAGTTGTTTTGCTGCCCTTAAAAACGTCCTTTATCCGTGTTTGCAACAATCTTAATTGTTTGGAATTTTTTATATGTTTTTATATTTAGCAGCTATAAAGTACACGTTTTTTTGTTTAAGCTTCAAGTCTGTGATAAATCAGTGTTTTTTATTGTTTTTTTATTATTTTCTGACAATGTTTTTAGCGATTCCCACTCAACAGGTTCTCAGCATACACGTTCCAGCTGTTGAGCTTATGTAATCGTGCTTTATTCTTCGGGAAAGTCTAAATTAATAATTTCAAACTTTATATTATTAAGAAATTATAACGCAAATTTTTGTTTTTTTTTCTTAAGAATTTTATACTAATTAAACAAATACTCGTATTAACAAATACATATTAGATATTTGCCCTTGTTAGAAATCTCCAGCTGCGGCTTGGTTTCGTTTCAATCAGCACAAAGTTCGAAATTAAGCCAAATCAAAAAAAAAAATAAAAAACAAAATAATTGATCTTAAAATAAGCCTTTTAATCTTTAAGCAACATTACTTAAACTAGATGTCTAAATTGGCAAACATCTTGTGATTATATTAAATGACTAAATCGTCGTGCATGTTGGAGCGCACCTCTATCTCTCTCTCGTTCTCTCTATCTCCCTCTCTCTCTCTCCCTTTCTCTCTCTCTCACACGCGCATTTGGAGATCGCCTTCGCTGTTGCAGATATAAAAGTCGCCGCAGCGAAGAGTCTGAGATTCTGTCTGACATTGGGCTTTCTCTCGGGCAAAAGAAATTTTGTAAAAAGTGCACTCAATGAAAGTGGTTTTCATTTGCGGCTTGGCCTTGCATTTGTTTTGCCCAAACTATATGCCGTAAGTGAGCCTTGACTTGCTCCGTTTCCCGCTCCCCTCCTATTGTATCTTTCCTCATTCGAGCTGTGGCCCCCTTCGATCCATGTGATCGGAATCTGTTCTTTTATATCCATTGAAATGATTTATTTATTCACTTATTTATTACGTTATTATTGTTCGACAAAATAAATAGAATAGCAAAATTAAAAACTAAAAGCCTAAGCAGAATAAGGGAGAATTTTTTGAATATCATCTCTCACACGATGGAGCTATTTTATTCTTGAGTAACTTTAATACTTTAGAATGTAAATAAGTTAAAAAAGAAGCAGAAAAAAAGGTGAGAAGATAGTAAAGAACTTTGAAATAGGCTATAGAATGTAAAGTTGATAAGGGTATAGAGATAGTGAACCCACCGACCCGTTGGGGGAAATTTGTTGCCAGTCCGGCAAACTTCGCCCCTACTCATAGCTCATAACGATTTCACGGAAACGCAGAAAATTATCGACGCGTTTGTACAGATAGATACACTTGCAGATAGACTAAGTCGGCTTTACTGTCTGTAGCATACATATGAACACAAACATACCCATTAACAATGGATACAGGGTATAAAAAAATAACCTAGCGAATAAGGTAGACTCCTAGTGAGAATTGTAAGGTCTACGATCATGAATTGAAACTGAAACTATTTAGAGCGACAGTTGAACTAAGATACTTAATGTTCTCCACACCAAAACAAAATGAGACATATGCATGATAAACAATTTATTAAAGTTAATAAAAGAACAGATACGGATTGATTAACCGAACAGCTTGTTAAAGCTGGGCTTCAGATTGGTTTGGCTTGCATTCAGGCTCTTGATCTTGTTAAGCAGCACCTTCCTCTGATGGGCCGAGTGTCGCCTGCAATGCTGCAGTCTGCGCTGCAGGACCCTTATGCGACGCAGCAGACGCCTCCGGGCAGCATTGCCACTGCTGCTCGCGGTGGTGGTGGCTCCAGAGCTAGCTGTCGTTGTGGTTGCGGTGGCCGAGCTGGCGGTTGTGGTGTCCGTACTCGCAACTGTGGTGGCCGTACTCGCAACTGTGGTGGCCGTACTCGCAACTGTGGTGGTGTCGGAGGCTGTTGTTGCCGGAGCTGTCGTAGATGATTGTCCGTCGCTGCGCTTCACCAGGCAAATGGCCAGAATGGCACAGCACAAGATAACCGTTTGGATCCTCATCTCAATTCAAATGGTTTGCTTGGAATGTCTTACCATGGGCCACACGCCTCTTTTTATACCCATTTTGCCCAAATACCATTTTATTTACCTGCCCGATTTCCCCATACTTACATTCATCTGCTCGAAATGAGTACACAAGTGTTCCACAACGTTATTCAAATTCTAACGCCTGATATGTAATCAGTTGTTCCGGCTGCACCATTCACGACTTTCAGTGTCAGCAGTTTCGATACCAGTTGAAAGTGCAAGTGAGCAAAAGTCGAATACTTAGAAAACCTGCTCCGGGATTTCATAATCTACAACGTATTCTACAGCATAGTTCCAGGCTCTTCATACGAAATATGGTAATATTTCATTTTTGTTTATTCTGTATTTTATATTTTACATATTATATTCTTTATTTAGCATAGCCGCCCCTCGAAAGTGTTAATCCACTCGTAACATTTTGCATGCCATGTCTATTTGAATATATTCTTAAAAACCATCGAATAAAGAGCCCGCCGTTCTTAGGTGGGGATTTGAATCCAATTAGACAAAATGAAGATTCCGAATATTCAATACAGATCTTTTCATTGCGAATAAGTTTGAGGTCGATCCATACAAACTTTTTTCATCTTAGCGTGCAGCTCTATTACATCAGGAAATTGGAATAAAAATGTCTACTACCTAGCTTTTATGGTTTAGGCGGTTCGTTGATCACCAATTAGTTAATCAGTCAAGCAGTCAATCAGTCAAGCAGTCAATCAGTTAGTCACTCAATCCGTCATTCAGGCAGTCAGGACAAACAGTTTTATATATAGAGATTTTGCTTAATATACATAGCTGCTTCGAATACTTATAATAGTTATTAATATCAACCCAAAAAAAAAAGCATGCACTAAATTTCAACATAAAAGTGAACACTATTTATAACAGACAAAAGCTGCACGCTGTGAAACGTGCAGCTGTGTTTAATGAAATATAATGTAGCCTAACATTGGGCGCTTGCTTTTATCTGTGTTCTGTATAAGGCTGAGGCTTACAATTGCTCTAAAACAAAGACGATTTATTTTTTCTGTTGTAATTCAAGTCTACCAGAAGGCAGTAGACAATATTTTCTTTTTGGCAGTCTACGTTGCTCAGTCTCAGTAGCTGCGTCAATAAAGTATTATTTATAAAATAATATAACGATCGATCGAAGATTGTGATTCAGTATACCTATTTGTCTTATGGGATACCTTAACCTATACTGGCTTCTGTGTCAGTCCGCCCAGAAAATATATTTATTCCTATGAGCACCGGACTATATACTATATCGAAAAATGCGGGGTAACGACATATCTCTGCGCGACATATCTCAAACGACATATATGTCGCTTCAAAACGACATAATCTCGCCATGGAGTTATGTCGTTTTCAAACGTCATATCTCCAGCACCAGAACATCCAGTTAGCTCAAGAAATACCAGTTTAAATCATGTATTTTTTAATATTGATCAAATTATAATTGTCAACTAACCCACAAAGACACGTGTGTTGCGATTTCTGCGGCTTCCGTTGCGACGGCTTGAGGAACGCGTAGTACGATTATTGACGCGAATGCGACGCACATTTGTGTACCTCAGATTGCTGATACGCACCGTCTTCCGGTTGGCGCCGAGTGAGACGGAGCTTGCCGTTGTTGTTGTTGTTGTTGTTGCCGTGGCCGTGGTGGTGCAGTCGGCATTATTTGCGTTGCTGGCATCCGTGCAGTCGGTGCAGTTGGTCAGGACCGTTGATGAACAGGCGACCGAATCGCAGCTCCTGATGTGTAACATGGCCAAAATGACACAGCCCAGCGCAATTGTGAAGGTTCTCATGATTTTGCTGACTTCTTAGGGAATTCCTCAATTAACTTGTGATGTCGTTACGCTAGAAAGCAGCGGTTTTTATAGTAAACACTTTACCTTGCTAGATTATTTGCAAATATGTTCAGCTGTGTCGATTGGCGAAATGAAAGCACGTGTGACCTTCAGCTAACACTCAGCAAAAGAACTAAATTAAAAGATTTGTGCTCTGTCAACAAGGCTAAAACTTAAACTTTGCATTTGCTTAAAAAATATGTTCCATTATGTGAACTTGTGTATTTAATCCAATTACCTCTACGACTATTTCAAATGTTTGAGCAACAATAAGCTAGATATGCAAGCAAGTGCAAAGAGGGAGATTCTATGACTTTCATTAAAAGCAATATTTAATTTATTAAGTAATATATTGTTGGCACTAAATAACAGATCTAAATTATTATCCCCTGACAACGCGTACGTTGGCTCCACTGCGGCGATTCTTGTTTCCACGTCGCACGTTTCCACGACGCACGTTTCCACGACGCACGTTTCCACGTCGCACATTTCCACGTCGCACGTTTCCACGACTCGCGTTTCCACGGCTCGCGTTTCCACGTCTCACATTGCGACGTCCAGTGCTGTTGCCTGAGGTGTTTCCATTGCGATTAGCGCGAACCCGACGCACATTTGTGTACCTCAGATTACTAACGCGCACAGTTCTTCCACCAGTTCCCGTTCCGGTTGTTCCAGTTCCGGTTGTTCCAGTGCCGGTTGTTCCGGTTCCGGTTGTTCCAGTTCCGGTTGTTGTAGCCACCGTTGTTGTCGTTGTTGTTGATACACAATCCACATGGTTTTCATTGCCGGCTGCGTCACAGTCGGTGCATCCAGCTGGCAAATTGGGATCAAAAGATGTGCAGGCGACCGCCTCGCTGTTCCTCACATGGAAACTGGCCAAAATGGCAAGGCTCAGTACAATTGTTGTGCCTCTCATGTTGTTTTTTGGTTTTTCGATTGTTGCTGCTGAGAACCGTTTAAGATATTGATATGGATTGTCTTCGACGCGTCGCCTTTTATAGCCAAAATATCGATGGATAATTTGCAAATTTTCGCAGCTGTTTAAAGTTATTTTTTAAAGTTTGATAACTCGTCAAATTAGGGGTCGATTTGCAGGCAAATATATTATCAAATAGAACAAATACTACGCATCTTTTTCAAACAGATCACCTTCAGTAAGTTGAATAGCCAAAAGCAAACAAATAAATAAAGAAATTAACAAAACGTGGGCCTTGAACATTTGATTCTTAATAAATCAGCATTGATAAACTTAGGGTAAAAGTATCTGAAAGGCTTAGCTTAACAGATTCTTACATTTAATAGTGATTTTTTCAGCCATTTTTCATGTAATTTTTCAGTTTTTCAAATGTTTTCCTCCAGTCATACAAATTTGTAAACCTTAAAAATCAAATGAAATATATTCTCTTCTCGCCAATTAACTTTGTGATTTACCGTGAGAGTTTCCAATGAATGAGCTTTTGTATCTCCATATAGTTTTAATTATTATGACGTCACCTGCACTTTCAGAGCAACGCGGAGACAATGCCAGTGGCCTTATGCGATTCGATTCAGTTGGAGTTGGAGCCGATCTCTGAGCGGTTCAGCCATGGACTATACTGGGAATATTTATTTGTACTCCATGCTCGTGCTACTTGCACGGCAAACGGTGAGTATTTCAACTGCGACTATAATGCAATATAATATAATGTAATATAGTATAATAGAATTAATTGTTAAACTTGTGCAGCTATCGATTTGTATACCACCCAACCACTGCATTGAGGACGTAAGTGCACAGCTTAATTTGCATTCGGTTGTACTTTTTGCATTCATCCAACTTGCAGATGGACTATAGCGATGCCAAGGAACGATTTGGCTATGTACTTGCGAAATATGCCGAGCTGCAAATGAAAATTAGTGGAGTGCCTCTGGGGTAAGTTTTGAGCAGGCATTAAAATTATGCAGACATATTGAGAACTTTCGACGCTGTCGACCGCAGTTTGCATGGCAAGCTTGTCACGCACGGCAACATCGAGGAACAGCATATAGTGTTCCAGCTGATGGACAATACGCCGCACGACGTCATTCAGAGCTGCGTGTTCGTGGTTACCAATGCTCCGGGTGAGTGCGAGTCAATTGTGACTGTCTGCAACACATTCCTGGGGCGCACACCGCGGCCTCTGCTGGAGCGCAAGCCATTGACGGTCTGCGAGGATGGCGTGCGCGAAGCGGAAGTGGATATGGAAGAGGAAGAGGAACCGGATGCCGAGGACACTGAGGTTGCCAATGAGGGCAAAGAAGCAACGTCAGCCACGGCAGCCACGGCAACGGATGTCGATGTGACCAGCGACAGTGAGCTCATCTAGACCTTTGAACATATGGATTAATTTGTGTTAGCTTGGACGAAGCTTTAACATTTTGAATCTCTATATTCAAATGATTTCCATAAAAGTAGAAAAGTTTCAAGTTGAATATACATATAATAAACTATTTATTCTCTAATACATATTCAAAAATTGCCTAAAAGTTTACCAAAATTGAAACAATTAATTAATATTTTAAATCGGTCAAAGTCAAAGTTATACGGCTTAACGGATTTTGGTCAAGATCGCGGTACTTAACAAACGGTTGCTCTTAAATAAGAGCAACAACTTTTCCCATGCCTTTAATTCCATTAACCGCCAGCCCACAAAAATGGCGCCTGCGCCGCATACACAGTCAAAGAGAACGCTCTTAGCATTGAGGCACAGTGGTCTGATATATGCAAATGTACATATTTATATTCAACATTTCCAGCAAGCGGTCTTTGTGAAAAACCTGACTTAACTCACGTACATAACTGTGTTTAAAAATATTTAGTATAATTCAAAATTAAACAAAAATTTGTTTTAAGTTCGTTAAGTTTTAAAATTAAGTACTTACAATTTTTAATTGTAAATTGAATTGAATTCGATTTCCCGTTGTTTTGTGTGTGCACAAAATGCTAACGACTCGGCAGCACTGTTGCAGTCATTGCCACCACCCCCATCCACGTGAGAAGACTGGGAGAGCGCTACAAAATGAGCGCGAATCGGAGCAGCGGCGTGTGCCAAATAACAGTAAACAAACGTAGCACATGCTACGCCGACGTAAGCTGCTGCCGCTACTGCTGCCGCTGCTGCTGCCGCTGCTGCCGTCGCTGCTGCTGCTGGCTACGCATCGCCCTATCAGTTGATGTCTGGCGCCAAAGCGAACTGGAGCAACGAAAAGACAACAATAGCAGCGTTCAGAACTAATAAGCTGCAGAGAGAGAGCCAGAGCATTCGAAAGAGAGAGAGAGAGAGAGAGCTAGAAAAAGAGAGTATGTGAACCAAAGCGTCTACAAGGCAGCAGAGGTGTATGTGTATGGGAAAGAGAAAGAGAGAGAGAGAGAGAGAGAGAGAGAGAGAGCGACAGAGAGAGAAAGAAATAACCCATTTAGCTACGTTGTAATTTAGCAAGACCCGCACAGAATTTTTGGTGGCAAACGGCGCTCAGTGCTCAACGTGTCGTCGTGCTGTGAAAAAGTCGTACTGGAAATTGGGCAGCTCTCTGACAGCGCTAGTCCACCCACCGCCAGCTGCTCGAAGCTCAAGCTGCTGCTACACTACGTATGCGGAATTGCCGCCGGTTGTAAAACAGCAGAGCAAACAGTTTTGCATAATATCTATGGCAAATATAAATAACAAATAAAAGCAACATCAAGCGAATTAGTGTTTGAACGCAATCAACAGTTTAGTGTTTTCATAAATATTACAAATATATATATATATATATATATATATATAAAACAACAACAATAATAACAATCAAATGCTTGTGAAGTGCAGCGTAAAGCGATTTGTCGCATTTTTCTAATTCACATTCACCCGCAATTTCCGCAATCAAAACGCCGCTCGTGTTATCAGGTAGGCTGAATAATTGACAGCAACAAAAAACAAATACAAACAATAATAATAAAAAACAATAACAAAGTCAGGCAGAGACGTCAGAAAATACTTGAAATTGTAAAGCAAAAGCAATTTGCGGCGAAATGTGACTGCATTTGCTTTTGACGCCAGCGCCGCAGTCGACGCACATGTGTTTGTGTGTGTGTGTGTGTGTGTGTGAGTGTGTTTAATAGGTGAGTAGCTTTTGTTATTATGTGGGTGTTTTTGGATTTATCTACAGCTCAGCTCAGCTGTCGGTTTAATTGCAGCTTTAGCTGTGTTTGTGGTTTTGCGTAAACAAAGCGACCAAACATAAATACAAACAAGAAAACAAAAAGTAAAACACACACACATACTCACAAACAGTCTCACGAATTAGTGGACCAAAGCAAAGCAAAACCCCCGATGAGAAAATTACAATATTTTTACCCTTGACTGCAAATGCGTTATATTGGCGAGGGGCTGGAGCTGGGGCTGCGGCTGCGGCCGGGGCTGGTGCCTAAAAGCACTTTACTTTTGAACAACTTTTTCGCCTCAAATTTCATAAATATAAATAAAACGCAGCGACTCTTTTTTTTTCTGGCGAACACGTAAATTACATTTTAAAATTGTTTTCACACAGTTTCTTCTTTTCACTTCTTTTTTTTTTTTGTGTCTCTTGCGCGCGGCAATTTTCTTGTTGCCCTTTTGGAGACCCGCCAAACGGTCCAACCTTCCTCCCCAGGCCGACGGTGAGTCAAGTCAGTCCGTTAGTCAAATCCATTAAGTTTATTTTGTATTTTTGTTTTTGTTTTATGTACAGAACGTTGCCCCATGTCAGGCACATCTGTCTGGACAAACAACAGATCTCTTAAAATCTTTTTTGTTTTTTTTTTTCTTTTTTTTTTCACTTTATTTCTTAAGGACTTTTAGGCGTAACATAACTTGTTGACCTATTTAGGATCTACAAATATATTTGTTGTTTGCATAAGACTTCACTTAATTCCCAAATAACTTGCGTTTTAATGTAGCCCTACAAATTGGTCAAGAACCGTTTGAGCCACTTAATTTTAGACCCTAATCCTCTCATTTTAAGAGTTGAGAACCTAACCTTTAATTAAGATCGCCTAGATAAGGGACCTTGCTATGCTATAGCATTAACTCAATTTTAAAGTTAAACATATCTAACTTTTTTTTTGTAAAGGTCTAGGCTCTTACAATTTGCTAAGTGTATTAGGTTCAGGCATAGGCCATAAAAGGTGCTTTCCGGCTACACTTCTCAACTTTTCCCATAGGTCTGGTCGCGCTATTGTGCGCGGCTTAAATAGTCCATTTCGATTCCTTTTTTTACTCATTCGTATATGCGTTTTATACTCATTCGCAGAAACCGGCGCGTGTTTCTGTCGTTTGCCGCCGTCCCTCGCCATAGAAATGTACACACATACATACACACACACATACATACATACGTGCATGTATGTGCTATGCCTCTACTTAGCAGAGAGCTGGACTGTCGTTCATTGGCTTTGTGCGGTCCGCAGGCGGATATTTGTTTTTGTTATTGTTCCTTCATTCTCATCAGCGTCGTTTGGCCTGACTAGCGTCGCCCTCCTTGCCCATTCGCCTCCCCTCGCCTCCTTTGCCGCGGTTCCATCGTCGGCCATAAAATGGTGTCTCTGCGCACATTTCGCTAGTCGCATTCGCATCTGTGACAGGCTTTGGCTTGGTTTAACCTTGCCTTGCTTCTGATTTGATGGCGCACACCGTGCGCACCCTGTGCCTGTGCCCAAAGGCCTGCTGCGTCCCTCTGTCAGACACATTTACGCAATTTTATTTTGTTCCACAATTTCTTACTCATTGCTTGCTCTCGATTTTTGGCCGTGTGTAGCCGTTTGGGCCAATTTTTTGTTGGATTTGCTTTTTGGGCTGCTTTTGCCAACTTCATTTAATCAGCAATTCATTTATTAAAACGCCACGGCTGAAAGCCAGCCAATTTTGATTGACCTTGAAGTATTTTCTTTTGGTTTATTGATTCAGTTAGCTGTCATGCATGTTGATCAAATTGCCGCTAATTTGCTGTCTTCTTACCAAATGGTTGCCTAACATAAATTCATGTCGATTTAATTGCTTTTATCGCGTTTTTTTTAAGGCGCTCTTTTGAAAGCTTCAAGAACGATATAATAAGGAATTTAGTATAAAAATATACTTGAATGGCCTTTTGATTAAATGCACGGTAAATTGATTAACGGTACGCACCAACACCTCGCAGCCAGGTTCCGTTCGCGAACCTGATTTCAAAATTCATGGTTTTTCCTATTTTTTTAATCTTTTAATATAATTTACTTTTGAAACTATAATCGAGTCCTGGATTTTTTTACAATAAATTTTGCCAATTTTGTTTAGATTAATTCAATGATAAAGTCTTTCTCTAAAGCTTATTTTATTTAAAAGTATAACTATTTAAAAAAAGATGTGGTTCACTTTTGTTTTCGGCTACTTAAGCAACTGACTTGGTTTACGTTTTGGGCTAGAAATGAGTCAGACTTAAAATATTGCCTTATTTAGTTTTATCTATCATCAAAAGTAGATATACATGAGCTACAAAATTAACTTAATCGGCAAAATGCAAAAGGTAATGAAGCCGGCTTTCAAAGTTGCGATCATATTTAACAGCTAAGTTAAAACTAAAATGTTTAGCAAGTTGCGTATACGCTCCGTGTGCTCAGTTAAGAAGCAGTCGCTGCCATCAAATATTGCTCATAAATATGTTTTAAAAAAAATTGCATTTGAAGCTAAAGCACAGAAGCTATTAATATTGACCCGAGATTCGAAAAAAAACTTTGCTGAGTGGCATACAACAGTTGAGGGATATTATGAAAGGCAGCCGCTGTCGCCATTGCCGCGGAGCATCCTTGGCCAGGAAAACAACCTGCTCGCTGTTCGCTTGCCGTTCCGCAGGAGGCGCTGTCTGACTTTTAGTTGCCACATTTTTGTGTTATTTTTGGCTTTTTATTTTATTTTTTACTTTTAAGTTTCGTGTTATTCCATTTGGCTCGGAGACGCCACTGAGTGCAACGCGAAAAACTTCATCTTTGCCCGTTTTGTGTGGCGGCGCTTATCCATCTTACCCCATTTTTAGCCGTGCTTTTCTCGCCAATCCTGTCGATAGCTGTAGAGCTGCTGCCACATTTTCTTGGCTTTGCGCTTTTGTGTACAGGCACCGACTGGCTTTTAGTTGTTGCCTTTGACTTGGCCACCACTTGAGGTTTTTATTCTGATTCTCTTTGCGGGATAACAAGTATTGAAGTGGATAAACCGCTCGACTATATATACCTAGACTATTTATGCATTTTGTAAGAATTATGCTGAATTGCGATGCCCGGGCTGCTGATACGAAGCTTCTTCTAGTTTGATAGAGTGCTTAAATGTGTAGTTAAAAAACGCAAAGTGGCTTTACATAATTTCCAAAATGTATTTTTCAATGAGCTTTGCCAAATGATGCTTACAAGAAAACCTATTCTCTGCGCTCGTTTGCGCTTCACTGTGCAACACATCAATTTTTTGCAGCACGGCTTCTTTTTCCTGCGATAACCCTCCCTTTTTGCACACATATCCTGACCGCATTTCGTTGTAGTTTTTTTTTTTTATGTTGGTCGTTGCTTTTTCTGATTATTCCTTTGCGCTATTTTTAGTGGGCAACATTTATTTTGGTCGCTGGGGTTTTTGCTTGGTAATTTGGCCACAAAGTTGACCCTTGTCTTGGCGACTGTGTGCGAAAGCAAAAATCGACATCGACTGGCAACAATTGAAAGCCTTCGTTCGGGTTTTTGCATGCGGAGCTAACGTAGGCAACGGCAATTGTTGTCTGTTTTTATATCGATTATATAATCATCGATGGGCGTCAGTGCCACGTGGACATGTCACGTAATTACATTTTCTTTCTGCCCATCTACTGCACTTTTATGACAATAACTGGCAATTACATTACGTATACGAGGCGGTGGCAAATGTGTGAACTTCTTTTTATTGAAGCCAAAGTTAGATAACACTGTTAAACGGCCAAAGGGAACGGCATGAAAAGTTCTATAGCCACATTTCCAACATTTGCCTGCGACCTACCCTCAACCTTCTGTCGTGGTCAGCAATTTGGCTCCATAATTGAATTATTTCTTAAGAAGTGTCGTACAAGAGCCACTCATTGAGTTAATTTGTGACAATTTGTGAGTTAAAGCAACGACGTCTGCGCTTTTGTTTTTACTGCTGTCGTCCTTATCGTCCTGCTGGCCAGTTAATGTCGCCATCAGGCTTAAGCGAAAGGATTGCCTTTTCTGCCCGGCTCAAGTCTCGCAAAATATAGATAACATTTACCTGGCCAACCCGTGACCACTCGCCGCAGTCGCCCTTGCCCCGCTCTGTTTGTTAAATTGTGCGACAACAAAAACTCCTGCCACTTGGCCAACAATTTCAGCAGGGTTTTGTTGTGTGCGTTTAATTAACATAATTTGATTTGTGCACTGCCCGTTCTACTATTTTTTTTTTGTATTCAAATGAAATGCACAAAAAGATTTCAATTTATTTGACATAATTTAATTTTTGCTTGTTTTTCGAATCCAAGCACAATTTAATTTGCCAACAATTTCAAACTTTTATGCAGTTACATTTAGTTGAATTCTGCGAGGGTTGACAGTTTGAAAGTTTGACCCTCTTTTTTAATCCCATTACAACTAACCGGATTTGTTTGTTTCTAATTACATCTGTTGCAAGCCTCTCTAGTCCAACTGCAGTCACAGGGGCAAAGGCTTTAAACACGGTGCCCAGTTTATTAAGAACTTAAAGCTGGACTGCTTGGCGCAGCTGTCAAAACTTTTCCACTCATTCAGCCAACTCGAAAAGCTCATTTTGGCTTACATAAAACTTTAATTTTGTATTTTATTTGAAGGAGTTGAAGTTTTGCTTATTAATGAGCCAACAAATTCGGCGGGTACTTAACTATTTTAGTC